CCCAGTTCTCAAGGCGTTTGGGGTCTGGATGCAGGCAGATGACGGAGCTCTTTCTGGGACGGAAGCACGCAGGAGCTTGATAAGGAATAACTGAGCAGAGGCCCTCGGGTGGACGGAGCGGTCAGGGAGGGCTTCCCTGGGGAGGCGGTCTCTTCCCCGGGACGTGAAGAGTCCTGCTCTTCGGAGAGCTGAGGTGAAAGAGTATATTACCTGGCGCTGTGGGCTGGATGGCGTACCACCAGGATTCATGTCTTCCCGGAACCTCAGAATGTGACCTCTTTGGAAAGAAAGATCTTTTCGGATATAGTTTGTTCAGATGAGGTCGCACTGGAGCAGGTGGGCCCTAAATCCAATATGACTGTGTCCCTATGAGCAGAGAAGAAAGGCAGGGGTGCAGACACGCGGGAAGCAGGGCTGAGAGCGCGGGGCCGAGCCTGGAGCAGGCATGAGCCAAGGAGGCCGAGGTGGCCAGGCCGCCGGGGCCGGAGGGGCAGGAAGGGTTCTCCCCAGAGGCTCCAGAGGAAGCGCGGCCGGCGGACACCTTGACCTCGAACTCCTAGCTGCAGAGTGAGAGCAGAAGCTCCTGTTGCTAAGCCCCCCAGTTTATGCCCCTTGGTTACAGCAGCCACGGAACTACCATGCCCACGCGGTACTAGAAGCCCTGAACTGTGGTACTGGAGGCTAAATCCCAAAGTAAGACAGGGTGAGGTCAGGGCGGGAGAGAACGTGGGAGGAGAAATCCAGCTTCCCCACTAGCCTGCCTTGTGAATTTGGGCCAGTCGCTCCCCCTTTGGGGTCTACTCTAAGTCAGGAAGACCGTGGGGTTCCAAACACAGGGTCGGGGACAAGCGGCGTCAGAATCCCATGGAGAGGCCTGTCTAGTGTGCGGACACCTCCCCCCAGGCTCACAGAACCAGTGTCTCTGGGTGGGGCGCCCCAGAAGAGGGATCCTGCCAGGCCACCCAGTTTTTAGAATCTCTGGGTTGAAACACACAGCCAAGGGCCCTTCCAGAGCAGCGTGTCTTTGTCTAAGGGCTGTCCACTCTGGCCTCGGCCATGACCCGCACCTGCCCATCCGCGCCAACCTAACGCACTGCAGGCTTCTTTCCGAAAGCGCAGGCCTCCGAGATGCTGGGAGATGCTCACGCCGAGGGGAGGCAGGCTGGGTCCTCAGAGGCAGTAAAGAAGCTGTTACAGAGCCCAGCTCTGCCTTTGATTTGCTTGTCTTTTCGATTGTGTAATTGGATCCCAGCCACGGGGCTCGGCGGAGCCTGGCCAGGGAAGACAGAGCCGTCGATACCCAGGAGTGAGTGACAGTCATTTCCGGGGCGACAGGCAGTGTGGGCAGCAGAGAGGCTTGGATCCCACCGTGCTTCTGACGGCAGGCAGCGGGGTGCCAACCAGACAGACCGGGGGTCGGCTCCCAGAGCTGTCCTGAGCCAGCTGTGTGGCCCAGGGCAAATTTCTAAACCTCTCTGTTCTTCCGATTCGTCAGCTGTGAAGCCGAGGCTAGCACACCCACCTGGCAGGGTTGCTGGGAGAAGGGCAAGAACAAGCCCATGGAGGGCCCAGCTCACTGTGGCGCCTGGCGAGCTGTGAATGATCTTCACCCCTACTGGCTGCAGGAGGTTTGCCCTGGAGAATGCTGGTCCCTTCGGCGAGGGCTGGCCCGAGCAGGAAGGGCTCCGGAGAGGCTGCCCGGTGACGTGGAAGCAGCATTTCTGAGAACCCCGGTTCATCGCTGTCCCTCCGCGCAGCCTGGGGTGAGTCACCTCATCTCTCTCAGCACCAATGTCTTCACCCCCCGAGCAGAGTCCAGAATTCCTTTCCACCCCCTCTCCTTGTGACAGTCAAGTATGATGACATACGTGAAACTGGGTAAACTCCCAAACATTTTACAGCCCCCACCAAAGAAAGTGCTATTATCTAGCCCACTGGCTCATAACCCCAGGGAGCTTCTAGAAACTACCAGTGTGCACACCTCCAGCAGGCCAAGTGCATCCCTCTCAGGGCTGGGGGCTCGGCACAGCCAGCACCCCCTAGAGAGCCATCGAGCCGGCCCAGGCTCCCATTCCCAGGAGAGGAAGTCCAAGTCCGGGCGGGGGGGACAGCCAGGTCCAGAGAGGAGTCTTGCCCAAGTTCACACAGCAGGTCATTTCCCCTCTGAGCGTCCTTCACCCCACACCTGCCCCATCCCAGCAGAACATTCCAGTAGGCTAATTCCCAGGGGCTGGGCAGAAAGGCGTGTGTGTTCGCTAGCCTGCCGAGGAGACCAGGGAGCGCACCTAGGTGTTCGCCAGGAGGGCTCTCCCCGGAGTCCTGACCCAGCAGAGATGTCCCTGTTCCTGGGTGACCAGTAGAGGCTAGGACCATCCTGCGTGTGTCCTAGAGGGGTCAGGGCACACGGACACAGAGCTGCGACCACCATGGAGAGAAGTCTGTGAGCAGAAGCAGGTGGAAGAAAAGGGGAACAAGCCTGGGAGTCGGACTCACCTGGCTCTATGCTCCCGCCACCGACTAGCTGTGCACCATTAAGCAGACAGAATAAATGACAGCGCTGCTATTAAACACAGAGTCTCCCTGCCAGGCTGGCTCTGGCTTCTGCCTCTCAGAAATTCATCTTTCAGCCCTGGTGTTTAGCCTGATCCTTTGGATGAATCAGCCCACTGTGGGCAAGAACAATGCAGGCTGTCTCCTCCCCCTACCCCGGCCCAGCCCAGGAGTGGAAAGAATAAGGCTGGGTCTCCAGGAGAGGACCAGGGAGCAGAGGCAGTGAGGCCTGAGACTGCAAGGCTGCGAGGGCAGAAGCCCCAGGAGCAGGGCTGGGACCCCAGGAGGAAGCCAGGGTGGAGAGCCAGCCCAGTGGGAAGAACCTTGGCCACATACGTTGTGACAAGGGAGCTCACTGCCTGTGCATCACCCTGGAATTACACCTGTGGTCTCACGGGCACCAGTAAGGTGAGCAGCGGGATTCTGGTCTGCAGGGGACACGTGGCTGAACGAACTGCATGCACCCTCCTCCCCTGTGCTCACATTCCAGACCCTGAAGTCCCAGTGATCAGATTGGCCAGAACAGAGTCAGGCCAACCTAACGTCATCACTTCGTAGTTAATCCTCTGACTTTGAGGAAGTCATTGAATCTCTCGGAGGCTGTTCCTCAAGGGACTGTGTCCATTTCAAATAACTGGGAGTGACTTAAACAATGCGCTGTACACAGAGCTCGAGCGGGCTGTACGCGGTCTGACACCCCAAAGCGCCCCGCACCCTCCTGCTCTCCCGCTGGGCCCGGCTCTCCAGGAGGTGCGCTCACTCAGCCCCAACCTCACCCATCCTTGCTGCCCAGGACTAACTGCTGGTCACGGCATCTCTGCCACACAGACCCCAGGCTATTTCACAGGGAGGGAGGTCTTAACGGCCATACCTAAAAGGAAGTTACTATTAAGAGGAGGGAAAAAAAACAAAACTAGGCCTAAAGGACCATAAAGAACGCAGGCATGGTGTTGGAGCCAACAATCCACACACCGAGTGCCAGGCTGCATTGCCCAGGGCTCCGGCGCTGCCTCCCAGGGCCCTTCCTAAAGATGGGAGCTGAGCATTCGTCTGCTGGGCGAAGACCAGTCGAGCCCGGGGTGATCCTCGTCTTCCTCCCTGGTGGGACCTGAGGGGCCCAGAGCACACCCAACCTGTTCCAAGAGCATCTCCCCTGTTAATGTACCAGCGGTGCTTGGAACATCAGGCTTTTCATTGTTAAAGTGATTTACTTCTGTTTCCTAACCCTGTGCACCCGGCCCTCCGGAAACCGGAGCCGACGTGGTCGAACCCATTTCCTGCTGTAACTCTCAGCCACTGGGAATCACCTCCGGGCTAGCCCGCTGCCCTGAGAAGCTGGGCAGGGGGTACACCCCCTCCCTGCAAATGGCGAAGAAAATCCATCAAGTGTCCAGAAGAAGCTCTTTCCTCTATCCCCATCACACACACGCATGCACGCACACACGTGCACATACACTCACACACACAAACACATGCACGCATGTGCACACGTGTGCGTGTGCACACAAAAACGCATACACACATACATGCACATGTGCACGCACACACACAAGTCACAGGATCCACTTGGGAGCTTTAAATGCCCAGTCAGCCCATTCATTCCAGATGGTGGCAGCCAACACTCTCATTTCACACGTAACAGAGGGCACTGGCCGGACACAAACACCCGAAATGCGCTTTAAATGTTAAAGACGTCCGTGGCAAGCCTTCCAGCCAGCACCCAAGAACAAATGGCCCCTCGGATGGATGGGATAAGGGAGGGTGAAGGTGAGAACTCATAGGGCATCACCACACCATTTTCCAGATGAGGAGGCGGTAAGAAGTGACTTGCTCGGTACCACAGCCAACAGGGGGCGAGCTAGAGTCCAATTCAAGTCAGCCCAGCACCGAAAGGTGTCTGATTTTCCTTCTGGCGCATGCGTCCGTCCCCGGGGCCTGTCGTTGCTCACTCCACAGCGATGACACAGTTGGCCTGGGCCCTTTGGAAGCAAGGCTGCTCCCGAGGCCTGTGGCTGCCAACACGTAAGGAGTGTAAGCATGCCCCGGGAGCTCCTTACCCGCGCTCCGGTGGTCTAGATCGGTCTTCTCAGACCTTCCTGTGCACACATCTCTGGGCATCTAGTTAAAATGCAGCTTCCTACACAGTGGCCCTGGGTGCGGGGGAGATTCCGCAGTGTAACAAACTCCCAGTCACACGGCTGCTGCTGGTCCGTGGACCACACTTCGGGGCTGTGAGGTCTCGAGTGAAGCTGCCGGTGCGTGATCCCAGCATCCGCACTACTAACTGCAGGGCCTGCAAGGTGCTGAAGCCCCTGTGCCTCAGTGTCCCTGTACGTAGACTGTGAGCTGGCACACTGCTGCCTGGTGGAGCTGCTCTTCCAGGGTTAAAGGAGACGGTCCACCTATGTCACCTAGCACAATGCCGGATGCATTAAAAAACCTCAATAAACATGCTTACCTGGCAGGGGAGATGCCATGAGCACAAAGGTGGTTCTCCCAGGGCGAGGCTGATCCATGGCACTCGGCGGGGGCTGCCCCCTGCCATGTCCCCACATGTGGGAAACTCCACCGCCCAGTTTGTGGGCGTAGGAGACTGTGTTCGTGCTCTCCCCTGAAAAAGAAAAGGATAATAATAAAATAAAATAAAAGAGCTCAATAAATGATTATTATAATTGGAGCTATTATTATTGGTGAGTTTTGTGGTACATTATAAGCTTTCAAAAAATAAATGAAAACTGTTAGTGTGACATTCCCCACTAGCTTACATTTGTCCAGCTTCCCCGAGTCCTGTGGCTTCCTCTGGAAAGGAATTTCAGAGCCAGAGACCACACAGTAGTCACCTGTGCGGTGCGTCGTCACGCATGTTGCGGTTATCAACGTGAACTCCGTGATTAGAGCAACTTAGGACGTCCTCTGCTGTGCTGGCTGAGTTTGGGCGGTTCTTCTGCTTCATGTGGGGGAGCTGAGGTCTGTCCACGTTCACTTGGGGGCTTAGCTGGGGCCGTGAGGAGGCTGAGCCATCCAGGGCTGTGTCCACGCGGTCCCCCACCGCCCGACAGTCTCCCCGAGCTTCCCGACAGCAGGGAGGCTGGCTTCCCAGAGGGGGGGCTCCAGGAGAGCCCCGATATGCAGACGTGGATCCGTCCTTTACCTGAATTGCGCTTGCTAAGCCCACGTCACGGGGCACGGACTGCGGAGGGTGTGGACACCGGTGTGAAGTCTCTCACAATTAACTCGCTCGATCAGACGGCCCCTGGACACAGCTCCTCGCAGCCTGCCCTGCTGTGTCTGGTCCTGGAAGACCGTGGAAGACAGCTGACCCTGCAACACCCGAGAGGCGGCGAGGGCACACGATGGTCTCCCATCGCAGACGGCGCGAGAGCGCGACGCCCGGCCGCTCGTTAGCGCCTGGTGCCCGGACACGGCTCCGCGTTCCTGGCTCTGCTCCCCACTGTCCTGCTGACCTGCAGGCAGAGAGTTCTGCAGCCCCTCCTCACCCTGTGTGTCTCCTTGCTCCAAGCTTGCTGGCGAATGGTTATTTATAAATGAATGTTTAAATGCTTCAGAATAAGTGCTATTTAAAGGAACCCCGCGGTGACTCACTGAGTAATTAAAATAATCATTTATTCCATAAGCACTTATCGGGTTCTCAGTTTGCACCAGGCAGTGCAGGGGTGAAGGTGGGGTACAAGGGAGGGGCGTACGGGGTTAGGAGCTGTGGCTCTTGCCCTCCGGGAGCTAAATCACCTTCTTTCACCAGTAATTCCCAGGTACCTGTGTGTCCGACTGAATGCCAGGCATCAGAGGACAACCCGGTGCCGTTTCTGCCCTCAGGAGGCTCACAGACTGTCCGGGAGACCAAAAAGCAAAGCACCCACACCATGGGGTCTTTATGTGATCGCTGAGTTTGGGGAGGGCCCTCTGCAAGCAGAACTCCGCCTGGGGGAGAGAGGGGTCAGAGGAAGCTTCCAGGTACAGTGAACCACAAACTGTCCCTGGACACAGAAGCTGACCCAGCAGACAAGACCCTGTGAGGGCCTTGCAGGCCCAGACAAGAAAGCACAAGAGACGACACAAGCCACTGGGTGGAGGACGAAGGGTCCTCCGAGTCCAGTGTGCAGAGCTGGTTGCGAAGACTTGCAGCCCAAGGCTGCTCCAGCCCAAGTTACCAGCGGCACCGCCCGGCCAGAAGGCGCGTCCCCTCCTCGTCCTTCAGGACTCCAGTCAAGGTCCTGTGCTTGTGCGGTCCTTCCCCGGTGGCCGGAGAGGGTCCCTCCTTTGCTATCGTGCCCATGGTGATTACTAACAAGGGGTTTAGTACCAGCTGGGCATACTTGCTCACGAGCTGTCACCTCCATTCAAATTAAACTCCAAGAAGGCAGGGACTTTGCTGCTCTCTGCCACCCTATTCAAATGTAAGTTGCACAAGGACAAGGACTCGGGTTCATGTTGCACCCCCAGCACCTAAAAGAGTCTCTGGCAGGAGGAATGGGGGCATGAAGTGGGCAGTGCCAGGACTAAGCACTAGGAGTATTGTGACTCCTAAGGACAACAGGGTGACAAGCCCCATCTGAGTTCCAAGCTTGCCTCTAGTCAAGGACTATGGTAAAGCAATCCCCCCAGGTCCCCAGATTCCTCATCCTTAGTCTCAGGCTCTCTTTCCCGGATCACGTTCCAGAATAGGCCTGAGGGTGGAGACAGCCCCGTATGGCCACCTGGGAGGTCAGGCCTGGCCGGAGCCCCGCCAGCAGCACATGACCACACCGTGACCAGGTATGAAATCCGAAGCTCAGCCGGGTGTGCTTCTGATTCTGGACCGTAGCATCCAGCCCCAAGGGGAACCGGCGGAGTTCCATCGGGGCTGACGGAACATTGAGAACCGGGACCTGGCCTGCACACACAGGAGTTTGCTGCTCAGCAGGTCTGTCTAAGAGATAGAAGGAAGTACAAGAGGGAGTCACTTCCAGTCAGGATGGCGGGTAGGTAAACGCGGTATCGCCTCCTCCCAACACCACATCAAAGTTACAACTAAACTACAACACAACCATCATTCAGAACCACCTGACATCGAGCTGAATGAAGTTCTACAACTACAGAATTAAAGAAGCAGCCACATCGAAACTGGTAGGAGGAGCAGAGGCGGACGGGCTGGCCCCACACCCACGTGTGGCGGATAAAAATCACGAGGACTCCTTGGCTGGGAAGGTCCTCCCTGAGGACTGAGGGGTCCCCGTCCCACACCAGGTGCCCGCTCAGGGTTCCAGTGCCAGGAAGAGAAGCCCCATCACTTCTGGCTGTAAAACCAGCGGGAACTGAGGCTGAGGGAGGCTCATAGATACAGAGAACTTTTTGTTGCTTGCCAGATGGGTGGGGGCTGGGGGGATGGGTGAAAAAGGTGAAGGAATTAAGAAGTAGAAATTAAGAGCCCCAGGCAGCCCCTCTTAAAGGGTCCACACACAGACTTACTCAGACTTCTTCCTTCTAAGCTCGGAGGGGAGGCAGCTTGAGGGGCGCCAGAGACATACAGGGAAGAACTGAGCTATTTGGCCTCAGGACGAAGTCTGGAGGGGCAGCTTTATCCTGGACAGATGTGCTGGCGGAGGCTGATGTTCCTTTGGTGAGCGCTTCCCTGGGGCGGCAGACAGCCACCATATCTGGGACTCCAGCAACCTGGCTCACTCTGTTGGCCCCGCCCTGGTGATTTCCTGAGGCCCCGCCCCATCCAACTTTCAGGCCCACCCAAGCTGTAGCCTGTTGCTTTACCATAGGATTGGCCTGTCTTGGATCCCGTTTCAGAGTTTCCTGAAATTTTTCAAATAAGCAGCATCTGGTCTCAGCAAGCCCCATGCCTCTCCTTAAGTGGCCCCAGGCCTGGCACTAGAAGCAGCCAGCCTTGGTTTACAACTTGGCTTTTCCTGGGCACCTTCAAGCCCAGCCCAAGAAGCAGCCATCGGCAGATCATTTTGCAGCTTATGCCTGGTGGCCCGGATAGAACACAGGCAGAGGCTGACCTGGCCCCAGAGCCAGCACACCCAGTGGACAGCTTCAGACCGCATTGAAACACCCCCACCCAACATCCTCCACAGTGACACACTCAATGAGCGGACTCACTGGGTACCAGAGCCCTGATGAGGTAAGTCTGCTCTGTGTGGTGGGCCCCTGCACAGCTGACCCTCCAAGGTAGTCAGAGCTAGTCCTTGCAGCTGATCAGCCTGAGTAAATCCTTCCCATTGACTGCCAACAGCAATCAAGACTCAATTCCAACAGAAGGGTGTACGGTCCACAAGAGGGGTGCACCTCGAGGGCCCAGCTGGGGTGATCAGGGAGCAGTGCCACTAGATCCTACAGCACACCTACAACTATAGGCCACCGTACAAAGCCTAGGAGACATAGCAACTCTACCTAATACACAGAAACAATCACAGGGAGGCAGCCAAAATGAGGAGACAAAGAAACATGTCCCAAATAAAGAAAAGAACAAAACTCTAGGAAAAGCACTAAACAAAATGGAGATAAGCAATCAATCAGATGCAGAGTTCAAAACACTGGTTATGCCCTGGCCGGTTTGGCTCAGTGGTTAGAGCGTCGGCCTGCAGTCTGGAGAGACCAGGGTTCAGTTCCCACTAAGGGCGCGTACCTCGGTTGCAGTTTGTCCCCAGCCCTGGTCGGTTGTGTGGGTGGCAGCCACTCGATGTGTCCCTTCACATCGATGTTTCTCCCTCTCTCTCTCTGTTCCTCTCTCTCCCTCCCACTCTACCTGAACAACAAAATGGAAAAATGTCCTCGGGTGAGGAAAAAAAAAACAAATTAAAAAAAAAAAAAAAAACACTGGTTATAAGGTTGCTCAAGGAACTTGGTGAGACATTCAAGGAACTTAGTGAGACCTTCAATGAACTTAAGGAGACCTCCAAGGAACTTAGTGAGAACATCAACCACATAAAAAAGGACAGAAATAAAGGAGGCACTAACTGAAATAAAGAAAATCAATAGTAGAGTAGGTGAAGCCGAGAAGCAAACCATCGATTTGAAATATAAGGAAGCAAAAAACACCCGATCTGAACAGCAAAAGAAAAAGAATCCAAAAAAATGAGGATAATGTAAGGAGCCTCTGGGACAACTTCAAGCGTGCCAAAATTTACATCATAGGGTTGCTAAAAGGAGAAGAGAACAAGAAATTGAAAATCTTTTTGAAACAATGACAGAAAACTTTCCTAACTTGGTAAAGGAAACAGATATACAAGTCCAGGAAGCACAGAAAGTCCCAAACAAGATGAACCCAAAGAGGTCCACACCAAGACACATCATCATCTAAATGCCAAAGGTTAAAGACAAAGAGAGAATTTTAGAAGCAGCAAGAGAAAACCAGTTCCTTACCTACAAAGGAGCTGCCATAAGACTGTCAGCTGATTTCTCAAAAGAAACTTCAAAGGCCAGAAAGGAATGGCAAGAGATATTCAAGGTGATGAAAAACAAAGACCTACAACCAAGATTACTCTATCCTGCAAAGCTATCATTTAGAATCGATGGACATATCAAGAGTTTCCCAGATAAGAAAAAGCTAAAGGAGTTCATCGCCACCAAACCAGTAGTATATGAAATGTTGAAGGGTCTTCT